TCCAACTCCTCATATTCAGTGATTCTGTGTTCAGATTCAGCCTTAACCCATGGCCTTCCAGGAAGGCCCCAATTCTCCATAGCTCAGCTGGGTCTGTGCTGAGATGTGCTCGTCAGGGCTGAGAGGGTATTTAGCTGAGATCACCAGGCAGGATCGCTCACCTGCCTTGCCTTACCTGGTGTAGTTGGACGTGAACACTACACGAGCCAGTGCTTGCCTTTTTCAGTGCTATCCTCATTCATCATCCTCAGAAATTTAGGTTTGTGCCATGAAAAAATAAAGTAAAAAACAAAAAATAGGAAGGATAGCAGATTATCTGTGCAGAAAGTTGAGGCTCCAGCATTATGTAGGGTTTTTTTTTGGTTGAGAGCTTGTTCTTTTTGCCAGTAAAAAAAGTTTCAAACATCAAAGTCTTCATGAAGGAAACCTGTGATGAAGATCTTTTTACATCCTGTTTTTGGCTAATTACATAGGCTGAGTGCCGAAACAACCTCTCCAAGGTGTGTTTTCCACTTGTGGCTCTGCACATCATGAGCTCTTGACTGCCAACATTATGTTTTTTGCAAATTCCAACAAATAAAAGTGGTCTTTGGCTTTCCTAAAGCACTTTTCATCAATGGACCTCAAAGGAGTTTCACAACAAACCTGATCCGTGCTGTTATTGTCATTAGTTGTGAGATACCATGGCACTGAAAAGCTACAGACAAAGGCACAAAACTCAAGGGGAGTCATCCACAGCAGCATAAAAGCTGCTGTCCCTCAGCTGAGCCATGGGACCAGACCCTGTGTACGTTCTTGGCCGTTCCCAACCATAAGGTAAATGAGTGTAGCAATTATAAATTAAATACAGGCACGTCAGCCAACACTCGGAGGACTGAGCTCAGGTTTCCTCAAGGCTTGATAACTTCTTAAAGGAAGCTGTCAATTTTGTGGGGCATCCTTCATATTTAGTCTGCTGCAATTGCTGACCTGGTTGGGGCAATAAAATACCCTATTTTTGATCCCCAAGCCTCCTGCCCAATGCTCTTACATTGACTGTGCCCTGGATGTGTATAGTTTGAGCTTCACCTAAATCTCTTAGCCTTCAATAACAACCTCAGCCTTCCTGGTTGACTTCAGTGCAAACCATGCAGTGTTATAGCAGGAGATATTTTGCAGCATCTTCTAGAAGGACTTCATGGCTCAGCTCTTCCCAAGCACCATGGTGGTGCCAAGTGCTCAATTCCTAGGCATAACCCCTGGCTAAAACCAGCTCTGTGCTTGGGAAATAGGGCTACACTTGAACTTGTGTGGGTGTCAGCCCAAGCTCCTTGAGGTGAGGGAGTCAATGTTTTAAGGATGTTTTAAGGTTTTTTACACTGAGATGTCTTCCCAGTAACGTTTCTCCCTGCAGGCTCCATCCAGATGGATCTCAACAAGATGCCCAAACCTGCCAAGACGGCTGAGAAGTGCTCCTTGGAGCTCGTAGATGAGGTCTTGTCTTCGAGTCGCTTCGTGTCGCTCTTTGAGCAGAAGACAGTCAAGGGGTGGTGGCCCTGTGTCGCCGAGCAGGACCAGAAGAAGATCCTGGCGGTAAGGTGGCCTCTTCACGCATTCCCTTGGGGGACTCAAAGCATGGAGGAGGGACATGGCTGGGCATGGTCAGGGCAAGAAACACAGTCTTGGACTGTGGGTTTTACAGACTGGCCAGCTTTTGTCAGCTCGGAGTTTTCCAGGGTTTGGCCAGCCCCATGCGAACACCTCAGAAGAAATTATGTGGTCTGTAGGGTTTTTGTTGTGTTTTTTTAAACGTGCCACCTAATTTGACTCTGTATCGTATCTATTCATAATGGTATTGTGAGGTGACAAGTACCAGGGAAAGGTTTCAGCTGTCAGACTGAATTATTTAACTGTAAGTGTCTGGGCTCCTGCTCAAATCTTTGGTGACTGTTCAGTCCAGGCAGTAAACTGGGTCATTCATCTGAAGACCCCCAAATTGCTTGCCTAAATGTGGGTTGTTTGAGATGTTCTGGAGTATCTGCTGAGACCATTGCAGTGGGCAGGTGAGGGATCTGTGTGAAGTCCACTCTTTACCAGGCTCCGCATGGTCCTTGTTGGTAGCGCCTGGGTTATACCCCAAAGTCCTTATTTCATTCCCCAATCAGTATTTTGCATCATACGTCCATTTCTCACCTTTCCTTTTTTTTAAATAAGTTTATTTTTCATGTAACCCACACAGGGCAAATTGGAAATGACTTTGGAAATCGTGGCAGAACAGGAGCACGAAGAGCGGCCGGCTGGTGTGGGTCGGGATGAGCCAAACATGAACCCCAAGCTGGAGGACCCCAAGTAAGAGCATTTTGAATGGAGAAGGAACATTTTGGACACAGAGTTCTCAAGGAGCAAATTGGAAATCTGGGTTCCTGGTCTGAGGACTGCTGTCTACAATGGGCTTGCTCCCATGTAGGCTCATTTCTGAACTGCTGATGCTCGGGCTGTAGGCGATGCTGATGCTCAGACAGTGCAGGGTGGGCTGGGCTGCCAAGGAGGGCATTTGGCATGGTCTACCCAGAAAGATGGGAGTTTGCAGGGTGAGCAGCCAGCTTGATACAGCAGGGCTTGCTCCTGGGGTTGGGGATCCAGGAGGGTGAAACTCAGGGGTGACTGTGACTTTGTTTGGCTCCAGGCGGCCGGAGACCTCCTTCCTGTGGTTCACCTCCCCGTACAAGACCCTGAAGTACATCCTGTGGCGGCGGTACAAGTGGGTGGTTATCCTGGCCATCGTGCTCTTCGTTCTGCTGCTCTTCCTTGGGATCTTCATCTACGCCTTCCCGGTATGATGGGGACAGGAGAGGACATGGGGGGGCTGACCAAGGTTTGAGGTGTTTCTCCAGGCCTCTGTGGGGAGACAGATGGTCCCCATGCATGTGGCTGCACAGTCCCATGCTGGTCCTTGGGTGAACCTGTGTGGATCTGGTGGACCATGATGGGTTTTGGAGAACAAACCTTATGAGGAGCAGCTGAGGGAGCTGAGGTTGTTTGGTTTGCAGAAAAGGAGGCTGAGGGGAGACCTTATTGCTCTCTATGACTACCTGAAAGGAGGGGGTAGAGAGGTGGGTGTTGGTCTCTTCTTCCATGCAACTAATGAAAGGACAAGAGGAAATGGTCTCAAGTTGCACCAGGGGAGGTTTAGATTGGATATGGGGGAAAATTTCTGTACTGCAAGAGTGGTCAAGCACTGGCAGCGGCTGCCCAGGGCAGTGGTGGAGTCCCCATCCCTGGAGGGGTTCAAGAAGCACCTGGATGTGGCACTTGGGGACATGGTTTATGGCCATGGTGGGGTTGAGTTGACGTTGGACTTTGTGATCTTAGAGGACTTTTCCAACCTGAATGACTCTGTGTTTCCGTGTGATTCAAAACGAGAGCCTGTGTTTCTGGCCTTTGCTGCAGCCTCAATGCAAGGTGCTCACCACGTGGGCCCCGTGTTTCTATTGGTGTCTAATGATGCTGAGGTTAATTAACAGTTCTCAAAGGGGTTCGAGCAGCCGGTGTCGGAGGCGTTGCAGGGTTGGTGGTAAAGTCCCCGACGAGCACACAGCCTCGTTAGCGATGCAGCCGTTTTGTGGGGCTGGGAAGTGGCAAAAACCCACATGGAGTTGTAATTCTTTAAAGATGCAGGGGGTTTACAGGCGTCGGAGCAACTCTGTCTCTCGTTATCAAGGCTTGGAGCACGTTAGGCCAATGTAATGTCTGAAACGGGAGGGTTTTCACCTCATTAATCAGGAAAGTGGCTTTTTCTTGCCTTACCATCAGTGGCAAAAGAAAATAAATAAATAATGATGGAGCCCTGGCCTTCCAGTTTGGCTTGGAATTGGGTTTTGTATCCTCCTCTGTTTCTACAGCACCGGAATAATTCATGCTGCCTCTTGGATGCCATTCCCTCTCCTCCCAGACTGATAAGAAAAACGACTGCCTCTCTCTTTCCAGCACTTAACAAATTCTGCTCCTCGTATATGATTTTTTCTGGGCTTTTTTTTTTTTTTAAAGACAAGAGCTCATTGGGGTAATTTATAACTCCGTGTGAGAGAGCGTGGCTGCCTTTTGCAGACGGCTCTGTGTGCTCGCAACGTGCAACCCAAAAGCGAGGTGTGGAATTTCTCCTCGCCGTCGTAATCGCTTTCAGATGATTCGAAGCCGTGCACGCTCGGCTGTTCCCGGTGAGGAAAAAAGGGGATGGGATTAGATCATGGCTCTCCCCCATCTCTCTGTCCTCTTATCCACGGGAAGTATTTCTGTCACCGAGCCTTTTCGACCAAGAACTCCGTGTTTCCCCAAAGATGCAAGCGGCTTTGCATTCATTCCAGTGGTATCACATAAAACCAACATTGAGCGGAGAAAAAACTCGCAAACTATGAATATTGATTTACACACATTATTCCTCGGGATTTTGCCCTGTTTCCTAGCTCAGTGTTGTTGTATTTAATTTCATTTTGGTCGGGTCAATTTTTAGTCATATTTCAAAAAAGTAAGGCCGTGTTTCATGGAATTTTGCTGGTTTTATGTCTTTGGCCAGCCTCCCCTGGATTTTTGAGGTCACTGGTTCTATATCTGCTTGGAGATTTAGTTCCTTTGCTGTTTCATCAGGCACTAAATTTGGCAGTCTCCCTGGTGATGGTTTCCTATGAAGGATGCCCTGACCTTTGGCAGGGTTCACCATTACATCCCAATTAAATGCATGGAAAAACCAGTCCCTCCTCACTGCTGTTCTGATTTGCACGCCTGGAGCACCCTCAGGTCCCATATAAAACAAGAACCTTGCTGTGTTTAACGCTGTATATGTATAATTTTGCCACTCCATGTGCCGTTTCAAGGTCCCACATTGCAGGGACAGGATTTGGTGTCCTGTCCCTCTCATCCTGGGTGATGGGGTGAGTGATGGGATGGGTGATGTGAGAAGAACCTCAAGGCAATCCTGTTAGGATGTGTGGACCCTCAGTCTGAGCAAGCAGAGGGTAAGGACCAGGGACACAGGGATGCTAAGGGATCCATGTGGAGATGTACTCACAATTTTCCTGCTTCTCTTGCCCTTTTGCTGTGGCCTTGCATGAAGAGCTCATCTTGGGACCTCCACTGGGACCTCCAGGCTCCTTTCAGCCATTAAGTACATATCCAAACTATGGGAAACTGCTGGTCCCATGAGCTAAGCTAACCCTGCACAGGTCCCTCTCCATCCCACACTGATGGGAATCTCACCTGAAAACAAACCCAGGGCGTTTTCATTGGCTCTTGGTATAAAAATGAGTTGTTATTTAAATTTATTCTTGCTCATATAGTGCTGAAAGCTTCCAACCACAGTCTCGGCTTTGTGGTCAGAGTAGCTGGAGAGTCAGGACAAATGTCCCATTCGAAAGCTGTGTGCTTCCACCTGAAACGGCGTGGGGCTGTCTGTGATTCCCAAGAGTAGCGCCCAAAAACCAGTGTTCCCAAAAGCCCGGGATTTTTGGTGAAAATGAAAAAGCTGATATCTTGGTCTTGTTCAGAAGAAATGAACAGGATCATGAGATATTTTACACGCCAGGGAAGTATTTTCCCCATAGAGGAGAGAAACAAAATAACCTGCCAAATTTTCTATGCAAATATCCTGCCAGATTTTCTATACAAATATCCTGCCAAATATTCTATGCCAATATTCTGCCAAATTTTCTATGCAAATATTCTGCCAGATTTTCTTGCAAATATCCTGCCAAATTTTCTATGTGAAAATTCTGCCAGATTTTCTATACGAATATTCTGCCAGATTTTCTATACAAATATCCTGCCAGATTTTCTATACAGATATCCTGCCAGATTTTCTATGCAAATATTATGCCAAATTTTCTTGCAGATATTCTGCCTAATATTCTATGCAAATATCCTGCCAAATCAGTATGGCTTTAGAGCTGCTTTAGAGTCAGAAGCCCTTGAAGATGTGGTACCTTTTTGCTTCCCCCATCCTCAGGAGATGGAGTATGTGTGATGGAGTAAAGATCTCCTCATCCTCCTCTGGGGTTGTCTTCACCTTCACCTTCACCTTCATCTTTTCTTCCTCTTAGAGCTCTGTGCATCCTTTGTGGTGTTGGGCAGCCGAGGGACGTGTTGTGGCTGCCCCAGTGGGATCTGGGGTCCCTGGAAGGAGGAAGGGGAATAGGAAAGGGTCTGGAAGGGCTTTGGGATGAAGAGGAGGTTCATCAGGATTCATGGGGAGCTGGGAATACCACAGTATGGGACATTTGGGCATAAGTCTGTAGGAAATCAGTCATCATTAGCGCAACTGTTTACAGAACAACTTGTTTTAGTGGGTGAGAGACCATTTCCAGCTGAAAAGCCTTTTGGTTTTGGGCGGAAAACTGCATGGTATTGCAAATTTCCATGAAAAATGTTGTCTAGTTTTACAAAAATGGGAAAAAATGTTGAAAATCTGATATTCTGAGGTTCTTCTTTTTTCTTCTTCACTTAGGCTCTTCCACCCAGTCTCAGTGTCAGGTTACTCGCTGGTTTGCCTTAGCTTGCTTTGCAGAGTGGTGTTCATTATGGTCTGTACAAGCCAGGACTCTGGGAACAGCATTCCCTGGGTGTTTCCTATATGATTTCCTTCGGCAGTCCTTAGATTTAACTTGACATCAGCAGATGAGAAGTATATTGAGATCCAGTAGCTGGATGATGAAGTTGGGGGCGCTATTCCAGTGGAAATAGGATGCTAATTTTTGAGACGAGGGGTAATGAACCATTGGAACGATTTGCCAAAGGTTGTGGTCTGTTCATCGCTCAAGTTGTGTCAAGATTGAGTGTCTGTCTATGAGATATGCTCTAGTTCCACCCCGACAGCGCTCACTCATGGCACAGCCGTGGGGCTTTTTGGAAAGGTCTAATGACTTTGATGGACTTTTCATCTGACATCACCATAGGTCAGAAGAGCTTTGCCTTCTGCTCTGGGAACGGTTGGATGGAAGTCTTGGGCAGACACAAGGTCAGAAGGAAAGGTTGTAAAAGCCCAGCTTGGCCTAATGCATCTGTAACACGTAGGGAATGCTGCGGTGCGGTTATCTCCCCAAAACGGTGATTATTGTAAGGATTTTAGTGGCTGCCACCAGAGAAAAATGCAGCGCTGCTTCCAGCTGGAGCTGGCTCGGCTCTGCAGCCCCGTGGAGATGTTTACTACCTTGTAATGCTCTGTTTGTGTTCTGCAAGCCCGGCGTTGCTTCCATCACCATTAATTCTCATTACAGCTCGCTCGCCGCGCTGATTGATAATCCTTCTTGGCTTTCAACACTTTGTTAAGACAGATTCAGGGCTGGACAGAAAACTTGCTGTCCTCCAGAATGCGACCAGTCAAACCATAAAAAATAGGAGTGTTTTGGAGGAGAGACTCCGAAAGACAAATGGATGGATAATTAATTCGAAGGTTATATGGCACCGGAGGCTTTTCTAATGACTTCTGGTAAACTGCCCTAAGTTTGCTTGCTTGATTTATGGCATTATTAGAAATCCTCAATTGGCAAACTGCCTTATAATTTGCTACACGTTGTAATTTATCAAGATGCCTTTGGTCGGATTTGACTTCTGTTTCGTGGGTTGGGTTTTTTTTTCCTTTATTGCTTTTTTTTCCTTTTTCCCCCGTTCCCCCGAAGATCTCGCTGGTAACAAACGTTATGCTTTGTTTCCAATTTATTAATTTTCTTTTTTTTTTTAAGTGTCGGAGTGATAGAACATCCTGTACCAATTAGACTCAATATGCTTGGGAGGGACTCCCAGACCAGCCAGTATGCGGTTGCGTGGCTTTGAATCACAGCTACTT